GGAGCCAAAAGCCCAGTCCTAGCCACTCTGCAGACACATCTCCATGCCAAAAGCATGTCTCAAGAGCACTTTTAATGGAGCAGGTAATATCAAGGCTTATGTTTCAGAGGGGGCAGGGAACCAGCAAGAGCACTGACAGTGAGCTATGACTTCAACAGTTGATTGAAACAGTTTAATGCATTTCCATTTCCAGTTGCTTGGATCCAGCAATGCTTCTTACTTATTTACAGCATCTCCCCCTCCTCTCCTCTGTGCTCTTCTGTTTGCTACATAGATAAACAGGTGAAATTGATGCTGGCTGTTTCCTTCCTGATGTACAGCATTGCCAATGGGTTCAGCAGGATTTTAAAGAGAAACGAGACAACAGCATGTGACCAGGAATAACATTTGCCAGTGTGTGAGCTTGAATGGGAAAACATATCTGTGCCCACCTGAACATTAGTTTAAGTGACAAGGGCAACAGATGCCCCAGCAGGACATATTCTGGCTGCCTCCCAGGTCAGGGCTGAGCCAGATCTGCTGGTTCCCAGCCCTGTATCCAGGACTACGCAGTGGCTCCTGAAGTCCCAGTAACCATGATAACTGCACTCCAAAGAGAATGACAGTCTGTTTTCCTGATTACACCTAATATTCACTATGCTTTGAAGATAAAGCACAATAATCCATCTGTTGCTTAATGTGGCAAAAATCTACCTAAGTGCAATAAGTATAACCCTTTGGAGACCAATCTCAGATGATTGTGGACTATTATTTTGGATCCAGAAGGGAACAAATTCACAGGCCATGTCCTTCCAGGGGAGGAGATACCCAGGTTAATTCCTTTTCTAGTCTTTCATTCTGCCACGATCTCACCTGCTGTGTGACCCAAAGATGAGAAACAGGATCATCTTTCAGACCTAACTATCCAAAACAAGGTCAACCCTATGTAAATATCTCCTCTTCCTTTTTTCCTTCTTTCTCTGGACACTTAGAGACACCAGCATTTCTGCCAAAGAGAAAAAGGGCACCAGCAAAAGGCTGCTTATTTAACCATCAGAATTTGGTGAACTAGTTAACATCTCTTAACAGAGGTGATGGGTACTCTGCTACCAGGCTTTGGTAGCCATCCAAAGAGGGAGAACCCATTCAGATGATTGAGCAAGGGTTTGAAACAGCAAGTAGTTGAGTGCTGTGAGGAAGAATAAACCTATCTATCTGTGGGAAGATACTGGGGTAGGTATATCAAGGATCAGCTAGAATCAGTGCAGGGCTAAGCTGGACCTTCACTGAGCTGTGCAGTAGGTTATGACATGCTATTCAGAATTGACAAAGCATTAGAGCTAGAACAACATCATTCCAGCAGGATAATGTACTAGGATAGCAATTTTACACCATACTGTTATATGTGGCTTCAACAGAGTAAAATTCACATGGTATGACAGTCATCTCAAAGGCCAGTTGTAGCAACAGCTAGAGTTTGGGGTGACTACTAATCTTTGAAATTCATGGAAATGCTATTTTGATCAGGCTTTTAGGAGTAGTGGAGTAATAGAGTAATTTTTTTTCCAATTTGTTATTATGCATTTCCTAAATTTATATGTAGGTAGCATTGTTTTCACTGATTCACACATACACTCTGTGTTTCCTCCTTTCATATATGTTGGCTCAGATGACACATTGTCCAAAATCCAGAGTTCTGCACATTTTCAAGCCCACTGTGTGTTTTACAGCCTTATTCTATCTTACCTACATAGGGTGACCCAGCCCTTATTTTAAACCCACCTCTGCAGAGAATTCATTTTTCTACTGGGATTTTTCTGAACGAGTACCTGGTCCTGAAAAAAGCCTTGACAACGGCATCAGCAATAGCACTGATATTATTAACAGCAGCACTCTGCTCTTCCATTACTGTTTTTATTCCAAGATTTCAAGGTGCTATGTTTATTATGCCCCACAAATCCTTGAAGAGATGGGTTGGTTTTATTCCTGTTTTGAAGGTATGGGAAAAACGTGACAAGACACTGCCACTCCAAGTGGTAGCCAGATTCCCAGGAGTTATGACAAGCCCAGTCCCCGACCAGGATACAACATTTCTTCATCCTTAACCACAGAGCTATAAGGCTGCAAGGACTTTCATGAACTTATTAATCTTCCAAAACTACAGTTCAGACCAAGACGTCCAGCCTCTCTGAGCTCGTGACAGACAATTGCAGCTCACAAGACAAAAGGAGAGCAGCTTTTTCTGCTTGCAAAATAAAAAAATAATAAAAAAACCCAAACACTTTTTTTTTTTCCTGACAGCTGACTTGGTCTTTTTGTCTTTTTATTCTCTTTCCACTACTGCAGTGCAGTTGAAAAAGCCTATTTCTGGGCTAGTTTGTTATGATACAGCACTATATGCATCAGGTGAGGGGAGAAAAAGAAAAGAGAAACAGAAACAGGTTCTGACATCTAATCAGATTTGTTGTATTGATTTTGCAACTTCAGCTTTAGTGCAAATCAGAGAAACAACCACATTATCACCCAGAATTTGCTCTTCCCTTAAGTGAGCCAGTTCAAAAGGAGCTCACACCAATAGAGGCATACCTGCATACACTCACACACATGCTCATGCCTGTGCGGATGCACACCCCACCAAAGTGGTTCTCCGAGGGAATGCACGGGCTAGGGGAGGAGGGGGAAGTGCTCATCACAGGGGCTGCAGGAGCCACACAATCCCCATTTCCATCAAGATGAGAATTCCAGAGCAAGCCACCAGACTAATGAGCTACCTGTGCTGGAGAGCAGCATTTCAATTAACCACAGTGTCTCCTGCCATGGTACTACCTCCTTCTAGCTGCATGAACAGGGAGGAGAGGGAAAAACTGCTGGGACTGTGCTGTTTGCTGAGGTTTTGTTTTGTGTGGGAGGAAAGGTGAGAGCCTATAACGGAGACGAGGGCAATTCTTTGCCCTACTTTCTTGGTCTGCAGTTTGTTTTTCATGCTGATGGAAGGAGCAAATTGACAGCCTGGAAACCAAAGCTGCCTACTCAGGAGCAGAACAGGCAGTGTCACTGTAAGGTCCTTCCACAGTTTACAGGCAGGAGGAGACAGCTCAGGTGTACAAACACTCAGTACACACCTAGCTCCAACTAAGGGTACGCAGAACTGATGGAGTAGGAAAGAGGGACATTTGGGTGAGCTGCCACATGGACTATGCCACCATTACTCTGGCAAGATCACAATAAAGCATTGCTTGGCCTTGAGAAGAGCTACAGAAAGATTACGTTGAGCTGCTCTTTACACAGAAGTTCATCACATCTGTGCCTTCTTTGGGGTCACACCAAAGGCTCCAGAACAGCTTATGGCTTGTAGCTACCATCTTTCGTGTGAGGGGAGTCATGTCCTTCCCCCCCAGCTCAAGATTCAGTGGTGTGATCCCCCTCCAGACCGGGTGTAACCCTCAATTCATCCCAGTCTCGGCACTGCTGCTCCCTCTGCAGGGGCAACGCGGGGCAGCGAGGACTGCGCAGCTTTCAAGCACCAGCGCCAAACTGGGAACACCAGCAGGTCTGACAGAGATTTTTGTTGCATCTCCCATCAGTTCTTGGGTGACCAAGAGTCACTCTCCCTGCCATGTCCATACGCCTTGCCCAGCCTGCTTTCCAAAACAGCTTAAACCAAGATGCATATTTCCAGCCTACTTGGGGGAAGCTTCTCCACACATACATACCTGCATGGAAACCTGCACACATTTCACAGTTCTCATCCTGTAATTTAATTCCTGCCATGCCCCTGAATGGACACAGATAATTTTAAAAGGGCATCTCTGAATACTCCAAGTGCCTGCAGGTTTTCGCACGCCTCCGTTACTGCTGTGCTTTCAGCAGCTCACATCTCTGACTGAGCAGTGTGTCTGGTTGGCTTCAGCCAGGTTACCCACTCTGGTCTCACGTCTCTTCTTCCTGAAGATCGAGCCTGGGAGGAGTGTGGCAGCATGTCTAATGAGCACTGCTGTGCTGTGCGTGGAGGCTCGGCACTCACAGCCCAGAGGCAGTGTGCCTGGGTGCAAATTAACCTGCTTCCTATACATCCCACACCTGCTAAATCCACGCTGCTCAGAGGACTCTGCCAGATCTCAGCGATCAGATTATCCTGATGGGATACAGGGAGGCATGGAGGGAGGGATATTCCTACAGTCACAGCTCCTTTCAGACCAAGGCATTTTACCCAGCTGCCATCCCCCTGTCTGACTCAAAGTCTTGAAGGACAGAGCACAGACCCCCTCATGTCAAAACAAATCAACAGCATGGTAGCTTAGCAGGCACTCACTTCTGTAAAGGAAGAAACCACTGCAAGGAAAGGATGGAGAGAGTCACCCAACAGGTACATCTGCAGCATCCATACCTCCTTGTTCACCTTTGTGCACAGGTATTGTCTTCAAGCAGGGGTGGCAGCACCACCCATGGCTGAAATCACTCAATACACCACATACCAAACAAAACTCAGTTTTCTGTTACAGCTTTATGGCATGGAAGCCTTTTGGAGTACGCACTTTCTGTTAGAATCTGCCTAGCTTTGCTTTCCAGGAATGTCCAGAAGTGACAGCTGCTGTAACTAAGTTAAAGAAAGGATTGCAGGGTTAATTAACATTCACTTGGTACCTTTTGAACGCTTGACTTTACAAACTTACCTATGTACCCTGAAGGTATTTTACCCATACACAATGCACACAAACACACACCTGGTAAAGCTGCTGTTCTGCACTCATCCACTGGTAGGGAAATGGAAAGCACTGCATACCAACATAAACAATACATCTCCCTTCCACTTCCAACACACTGGCCATACAGTATCCTGTGGAGAACCCTGTGTAGCCAGACCAATTAAACAAACTGTTCAAAGGTCCCTAGACAAGAAAAATGTGTCTTCTCAGCCCAGTAAGAAAGGTCAACTATGCCTAAAAGCAGCACTGAGTGTGTCAGCCCTGCTTAGCCCACAGGCTTTAATATACACAGGCATTCAGACAGACACTACTTACACTGAACGTTGAGCTGCACCATGGCTTCGCGGGGTCTGATGTTAAAGCCATTGTACCTGGCTGTCTGACACTTATAGGTCCCACTCATTTCTCGGCTCACACTCTCCAGGCGTAGCTTCCCATCGTATGTCTCCACCGTCATTGTCCCTGAAGGCATGGGAGTTTCCTTATCTACCCGGGACCAGATGATGGGTGGCTTGGGTTTCCCTCGAACCTCACACTGCAGCTCAGCCCTGGAGCCCTCCCGAACGGTGATGGTGGACTGACCCTTAGGGACACTGATGGTTGGTGGCACTAAAAGGGAGACAAGAAGGGTATCATTTTACACCAAGTTTCCAAGGAGCAAGGAACACTCTTGAGATGCTTGTGTTTGAGTCACACCAAAAGCCCTAACTCCAAAGGTTTCCACTTGACACAGTGCAACCTCTGCCCATTTAAGTCATCCTACAGGGTCCAGACCTGCAGGGTACCAAGGAAAGTCCCAGCTTCTCCAAAAATGTATCCCAATACCAATGGCAAGTGCCAGCTGTATTGGGCCATTCCCCCAGCCCCTATCCCTCTGTTTGCAAAATGCTGCCCAGGAGGACGACGAGGAAGGCTAGCTCTGAGAAACCCAAAGGCAAAAGCCTCTTTGATCCATTTCTCAATTGTTGGTTGTTAGTGAATGTCTCAAGTGGAACTGCAGTCTTTTGACCAAGAAATTAAAATTGTATCTGCCAAGGTATCTAGTTTCCTTACCCAGGTCAGACCAAACCCCAGACTTACAGGATTAGTGCTTGTTGATCACATCTCCAGCCTTACCAGAAATCCAGGATCCCTGTTTGCTCCTGAACTACAGCAGGGAGCCAGCTTGGTTAAGCGTCTCTGCCTACTTTACACTGAGATTCTGAGCACACTGGTTATCTCTGGCTCAAGTGAATGAGAGTGAATCCCAGCAAAGATCACTTCCCAGACTGGAAAGAGCTCACACAGCAGAACTGCTGTCCAGCCAGGGCTAGAGCTGGAGGCACAGTAACATCAGGAAACATCCAGATCAACTGACAACAAAGCTTTGCTGATAAACAAAGCTTGAAAGAAACACAAAAACTCCAGCTAAAAGGTGCTGGTGTGGAGAAGTTTGCTGTTCACATGCTCTCACCAGCAAGAACCCAGGAAGGGAATGTTTGTACTAAAACCTATGTAATATTGCCTTTTTATTTGTATTAGGCTTCAGAGTTAACAGTTCAGCCGGGGTAAATACGGCCATGATCAATTTCTGATAGCTCCTTTTTGAGCCTTTTCTGCTGACTGCAGCAACATTTGGATTGACACTTCTGTAACTGCAAATGCCATGTATTTCGTTTCCATTTAAATCAAAATTTAGAACTACAGAGGCTGTAACCAGCCGGTCTGACCAATGTTAGCTCAATTCCATTCCAGCAAAGGAGAGTGTTCTACAGTACCTGTGCACATTATATCTCACAGCTGCTTTATAAGCAGATTTAGGATAGCTCCAGCCCAGTCTCCCTATGCAAGAGGGAGGCCACATTTTCAATTCACAGGTCTCCTGTGGGCTGGGGAACCTCATCACACCTTACCCCGCACAGCGCGAAGGGACGAGAGCACTCTCAGTGCCCGGCATTGCCAGCAGCTGCTCACCTGGTGAGAGGCAATTTTCTCGACAGGGAAAAGCTGTAAATTGCGTTTGAAGATGTTTTTTAATTAAAGCGATCTCCTTGGAGCCGCTCAGTGGAGGCAGCCACCTTGGTGAGCTCAGGCTTTGTCCAGTGGGGAAACATGGAGCCACTGCTGTCACCCTCCTGATCCAACCCTGTGGCTGGAGGAAAACCCACTGGGTTTTTTTGCCGGAACCACATGTTGGAGGTAGCTGATCGTGGGGATCTCTTGGCTGATGCACAGAAGGCCGCTCTGGCAGGGATGGCGGTTTTCACTCCCTGGGTCACAAAGTGGTTCTACTGGAGCAGGCTGCCAAAGAGAGGCTCTCACACCCCCCAGCCTGCCCTCCGAGCATGTAGTGCTCAGCCTACAACAGACAGGCAACCTGCCACTGCCTTTAAGGCAGCAAGCAGCTGGTGCTTGGACCAACACCTGCACCAACAGGCACCGTCCAGCCTTTCGGTGGGATCACCCAGGGTCTGCCAGCCCTCTGCAGCCTCCTACCCTTGCAGGCTTCAACACAACTGCACTCTGCCATCTAGTGACCTTGGGCAAAAAAAGACTGCTCACAAGGCTGGGAGTGCCAGCTTTGACCAGGACTGGGGGGGTGGTCCTAGGGGAACTGGGGGTTCTCGGAACTGGGGGTTCTCCTGTTTTTGTTCCCTACTGGTCCAATTGGGTTGGCGTCTGATGGCATGGAGAGGGCTTTACCTTTCATGAAGGGAAGCAGCACCCTTCGGTGTTTAGTGGGTCCATGACATAGTCAGGTCTTGCTCTCTCAGATGCTAATGAGCACTATGTGCAGTCCTGTTGGGAGCAGGCTGGCCCCAGCATTTCTGTGAGACAGGGGCTTCCCAAAGCATCAAAAGCAGTTGCAGCACTTTCTGCAGGGGTGAGGGGGTGGAAGTAAGCAATGTCCAAAATCAAGACTGAGACCAGCCAATCCAAGGATCCAGCACAACCAGGGATGGACAAGAAACTTTCACTGAAATTTCAGGACAAAATCTGCGGGCAGCTGGCTCCCCTCAGGAGTCCTCACCAGATTACTGGCCCAATACTGCTTTGTGCTGTACCCTCTAGGTCTTGGGAAGGCAGCAAAATGATGTGGATGTAACGGAGAACAGAGCTGGATTCACTACTTCCCCAGAAGCAAAAAGGCAGCCCTGAGATTCTGTATGTCAATCCCTGAGACGACTGACTAGCGCACTTAAAGATTAGTCCTGTCCTCACCAAGCCATAGGGTGAAGTTTTGACCCTGATTTTAAACGGGGAGGGGAAGCGCATTTGTAACACTTGGACTCCTACAGAGAGTGCCCAAGACAGATTGTAGTTGCAATCCAGTAAACAGTAAAGCTCTTCAGAGAATTTGTTATGAGGGATGATACCAATCTCCTGTCCACAGCTCTGAAAACAGGGACATTCCTCAGAAGCAATGCCAAAGAGAGGAAAGAGCAGCTTTCTTTCTCTTTACTCCCTTCTAAGCAAAGGGACATTTGAAATTTGGTAAAATGCCACCTGCTTTTTCTTCCATCACAATTTGGAGGCTTCTCTGAACAACCACATTGTAAACCTGTCTTGCAGCTTTGATTGAATTTTTCATAGGGAGAAAACATAAAAGAAGTATCTGCTTGGTGCGCAACGCATCGCCAGGCTCAGCTAAATGCTTGCCTGAGGATGAGAGACTGGGATTCAAGACACGTCCTTCAAGAAAGCCAGAGGCATTGGGGTGGTGGCAGTTCGTAATGCCAGCCACTCCTCTGAGGTCCCCTGCTGGCACAGAGGCTCACCTGTCTCTGAGGAAATGTTCACCTCCACACTGAGGTCAGGAATGGGTGCTCCCTGGAAGGTAGCCACGCACATGTAGGTGCCGTAGTCACTGAATCTCAGGTCAATAATCTCCAAGCTGCAGGTCACAGGTGGGAGCTCGGGGTCATTCCGGGTGATGAGCAACCGGTCCGAGAACCTGGCTGGTTTCCCATTCTTGTACCAAGAATAGACAACTTTCTCCTGGGGGACAGCATCTACATGGCATGAGAGCTTCAAGTCCTGCCCTAACTGGATGGTCTCACTCTCTTTGATCACATCAGGGGTGATTTGAAACGTGGCATTCTTCATGGCTGTGATGAACAGAAGTGCAAAAATGGTTAGGGACAGCAAAAAGTCTTGCATGGGACAGGACAACAGCTTTTGCTCCTCAGGAAGGCACCACCTCCGTGTAAAATCTGTCTGAAGACCTCTCCCTGTTACATTCCTACAGAATGTCCCCCAGGCCTCCCATCTGGCAGTCTAGGACCATTCTCCAGTCCAGGATAGTGCTACAGCCTGGGATGAGGCTGCAAGCAGTGCTAGCACAGCTTTTGGTCTGGGAGCAGGGAAGCTTGCTCAAGCACTTCTCCAGAATACTAACTGCTGCTAAGTTCCACATTCACCATCAGCTGTACAAGAACAGCCAGAAAAAAATGCAAATCTAGACCCTCTACCCTGAAAACCCCACGCTCTGAGACAAAGAGCCACTTACACCGCACCAGCAGATTCACCGTCTTCTTTGCCGGGTTCCCCACATTGTTGATGGCTGTGCAATTGTAGTAGCCCGAGTCCTCCACACGGATCCTCCAGATGGTGAGATTGCCTCCTTGCACAAGGCTATTGGGAGGCACTGGACCAGGAGAGTGAGACCAAACCACCTCTGGCTGTGGGTCACCACCCGTCAGAGAGCACTGCATAGTGATGTTGTCACCAGGGTTGACCACAAGTGTCTCATTGACAGACAGCTTCAGAGCAGGTGGAGCTGGAAAAGTACAAAGAGGCACACTTCTGAGCTTAAAAAAACCCATCCGATTTCTGTGTGCAGCTTCATACTTTCTAGGATTTATTCTTGAAAATGACTGGTTTGAGTAGGGAGAGCTGGAAGGATCCATGCATTCATTGCAAATAGAAGGTGTTTGTGAACATGAAGCATGATCATTACCATGCCTTTGAGTCAGAGCACTCTGTTATGGTTAGGAAACAGTGTAGACAGGACCTGACACTGCCCCAGAATTGGAGGTGGTACCTAAACCACTCCACCACTAGTGCTTAGAACCAGGGCATAAGCTAGCTGCTTGTGGTTTAGGACTATAGCTTAGGATTCAGGTCAGAAAAAAAGCCTGATGAGCCCCTTTGCATAGGTAGGTGTGGCAACCAGACAACAACTGGCAGTGGAAAACCCAAGGCTAGAGGCTTTCTGACTCCTGATGGAACAATTGCAGCAAGTCAGAAGGGCAATGAAAAGCCACTGTGGCTCTGCATTACTTACCTTCACTGCACCCAGCCCACTCCTCTGCAGATGCCACCATGACTTCTGCTCTGACTGTATTTAACTCCCCTGACTCTAGGCAGGCCCTGCAGAAGCAGCACTGGCAAAAAGGCTCAACTGGTAGCTCCTAGTAGAGTACCTGTCTCTCCCTTGCTGCAACACTATTGTATGAATCACAGTTAGTCTGCTTGTGCCTTGAACAGAAACAGCACAATGGACTGAGCCCTGAGAAAGAGAAAAAAAAGCAACAAAAAAAAGGGGGACAGGAGAACAAGAGATTCATTGTCACAAGACATGGGAAGCTGGAGCCACGGATTGAGCTTTGCCCCTCAGAACCCAATCCAAAGCACGCTGGGAAGCTCACTGGGATGTCAGTGTTTGCTGGACGGTTCTCACAATCCCAAGAGAAGGTCAGGAAGAGCACCAAGTGCATGCTCAGTCACAGCCTGCTCCTTCTGGCTGACCACCAGAGCTCAGCCCTATAGATAGCTGAAAGAGAAAGGTCTGTCTCAGAACACCCTGCTTAAACCCAACGGATGTTTTTGTTCAAGGACAGTTGGGATTAAGTCACTCCTCCCGTAAAGTGTTGCTGTTCCAGGAAGGAGTTCTAGGGAAGGTCTACCATTAAAAAAGGACCTCAGCCATCCCATGATATACCTCTCCATCTCTTACACCCAACTAGACATCTTTGAGAGGCAAAGCCATTGCCAGGGACCTGGCCCTTGCAGCTCTGAGCAGACACAAGACCAGGACCTGTCTGTACCATAACAGAGCAGGAGCTGCAGCTCTGCATCCACTCTTAACCTTCTTCACTTCCATAGGTGTCAAATACACTTTTCTATAGACTGGGGACTACAGACCAGGTCACAGGGATTGTCTTGCATGCACAACTGAACTGAGAGTAGTCTAGACAACCTCTCCTTTGAATACCCTAGTAACCAGTTCTGATTTATTTTATTTCTGCATCCTTCTCACTACACCTCCCTCCAGGAACTGATCCAAAAAACTTCCCATGAAAAGCCTTTTAAAGCCCTTCTCAGCACCATCACTGGCTCCATCCAGACAGAACTGAGAAAGTAGCAATCCCCACCACAAAGGCAGGGAGTATGTTTTAAGTAACAGCCATAATAATGCAAAATAAGACATTGTTCCATATTCATGAAGCCTGATTTAACGGCATCATTATTTCTGCCTCTTCTCTCCCTGGACCCTGCGTTAATGAGCTGTGCTGGATTTGTGTTGGATCTGTGAATTACAGCCCATACAAACAAGGCAAGGAGCAATACTCTCATCCCAGAACCAGCACCATAATTTAGCAGTGCAACCACTGCCACGCTGGGATACTGCTTTGGTGCCCTGAATCAAATGTCCTCTCCCTGGCCACAGTACGTGCTATTTGTACCAGAGGTGGTCAGCTATGCCTAAGGAAAAAGCTGGCTCCTCTGCCACCTGCACTGGCCTTTTTGAGGCCAGTGTCTTTGAATTTCGGGAGGCCACAGCCTGCACCCAAAACTTTTGACAGGTCTCTTTGCTGGAGTCTCGGCAACAGTATGCAAGGGTTAATACATGCTAATTGGCAAAGAAAGGATTTGTACATCTTCTCCAAGCTCCAGGTAGTTTCACTAGACAGTAAGAAGTCCAGGAATGCAACGGCCCAACTCACAGTGGTCAAGCAGGATGCATTCCTGTCACCAACAGGCTGTCAGCTGTGTGTAGCTGACACCAAATAGCCATTCCTGCCCTCTGACATTGGGCAGGTTCACAGGACATAACCAAACTGACAGATGCAGCTTCTTGCCTGGGAATCTCCATCCATCCCTGTCAGAGCCAGAGAGGCTGAGACCAGCCTATGTCCAGAGTTGGAGAGAGCAAACCAGAGGTCCTGCAGGTGCTGGTTAAGATTTAGGGCTCTTGCCACATTTAATGTACACACATCTGATCAACATTCATCTTGCCTAGCTCTGGGCAAGGCAACTTGGAAAAGAAGTGATATGCTGGTGGAAGCAGTGCTTTGGGGCAGGTTGTATGTTCATGCAAGAGGGAGGCAGGGAAATTGCAATGCTGCCACCTGCACAGCTCCAAGCAGCAAGCTCCCATGAAGTGCCCCAGAATGGAGCCCTAGCTGTGGCAGCCTGCGTGGGCTTCCACTCTCACTCCTGCCATCAGACAGAGGTTAACAGTCTGCAGACATTGTTATGCAGGAGGTGAATCTCATTTATTTGTAACCTGTGGCAATTCCTTTTATTCTTGGCTCAGAAAACCTGCTGGCGGAGTACGCTGAGCAGCAAGGGGACCATTAAAAACAAAGAGTCGCTTTCAATTCCCTTTGAAGTCCAATTTGCTGCAGTAAAGCTTCAGGAGAATTAACCAGCTGGGCTGCTTAATTTTGCAGAAATTGAGGAAAGGGAAAACATCAGCCTGACCATGCTGGAAAAGGTGATGACAGCCCAGGGCTGAGCTGGTCCTGTGGCTCGGTGGACACAACCTGCTGCTCTAGAGCCACACGACATGCACAGGACAGAAAAGGAGCAAATAAAACCACCTTCCCATTACGGCTGCAGACCAAGAACCCATTCCCTGCTGCTTCTCCCAAAGCTTCACTGACACAAGAGCTTGGGAAAAGCATATCCCTTGTGGGAAACTATGATCTGCCCAAAGGCCATTGCCAGAGTTGATGAAGCAAGCCAGCTGAGGAGCAGCAAACGAACTTGGAAGAGAGGATTCCCTTGGCCTAACATGACCTGACCCTCAAGGTCTGTAGTACTTGTGTCTATAAATATTCAAGAGATAGATTCCCATGCACCTCTGTGCATTTTGAGCCCTCCTCAGCTGCAAAGGTGAAGGCAACCTGAGCAAAGCTGCTCAGAATTCTGGGCACAGCCAAGGCTACAGAGGTTGCTAAAGCACAAGTGCAAGAAGGAAAGAAAAGAACCATGCATAAAAGGAGAGAATTAAAGATTTTTCTTTAAATATTTTCTCATCTATGCACAATACTACCTACAGGGCAAGTAAGCCAGATAATATTTCATGTTAAATACACTTTTGTTACTGAACACAAACCTTGCTCACACCACAATGCCAGCTTCATTTTCACCGCCAGCTTTTAATACAATTTGCTGGGAACACATTTGCCATGGCCCCTTCGAGCTTGTAGTGTCAGGCTCCACTGTAACTATGTATAAATATGCATATATAACTAAACAACAAGAAAAAAGAACTAGATTTATGTGCTATGTGATCCAAGTTCGGAGATTAGTTAAGAACTTAAAAAACTGGTGTATGTTCAGCTATATCGCTGTCTCCCCACCTGGCTACAATCTGAAAATACATTTTTCCCATACGCTGAGGGGCTGGACTGAAATGAAGGGTAGATTTCCTGTGCTTGGACTGGCAGGGGGGAGTGGGCATAAAGAGAAATTTGATTTTCTAACTCTTCAAAGGTAAGGGCACAACAGGGAAGAAGAGCTTCATCATTAGCACAAGATAAGTTTTTGAAGGGAATATTCCAGCATCTGCTACAGTCTCATCCTGAGAGAAATTCAGGTGTTCAAGTGTGAGTTGCTTGAGACATGTTCAGAGATCTTACTACATAAAGAGTATCTTTTTTCACTTTTTTAAGCTCATTTTTTTCTTCTTTCTACATGAAATAATGCACCTTGGGGGCAAGTCAGATGAATAAACGTAATTTACAGTATCAACAATATCCTGTCAACAGCTGGCAACATCAAAAAAGTTCTGATACCATTGCACAAAGATGACACAAGGGATGCAAACTACTTTGTGTTACATTAGAGAGGTGAATAATTCAAGTAACTACAATGCTTTTCCTTCTGATCATGGAAGACCCCAGGGCTGGAAGTAATTTCCAAACATTTACTTATTGCTTGCAAATACTCAACGCGTGGGGGCTTTATGAGTGTGCTTTTGTTGTGGTTTGTTTTCAATGGACAGGTTGCAATCATGTCCTTGCAAATATTTGGTACGCTACACTTGGTTATCAGTCAGTTATTGCAGGTCAAGCAAGAGGCACCAAAGTAATTCTGTTTGCAACTGGAGGCACACTCAAGCACTGCCAATATGAGTATCTGTGTAAAATTTATTTATTGGGAAGGCACTGGAGATATTTGCTTTCCACAGACATCAGCACCAATGGAGCCTGTTAGCTGGGAGATGCTGAGAGCGCAGCCTGGCAAACCAGGCCAGAGCCACACATGAATAAATTATTTGTAAGAATTCCTGCAGCATCTGCCCCACTCCGGACTGAATCAAATCTGTTTTTAAAGTCACTTAGAATTATACATAAATAAACCAGAGTCTGGATTAAAAACTACATAGTGGCTCAACACCTACATGTAGTCTGCTTTAATGATCTCATGGCAGGCCTGGCCAAGGCACTGGGTGCATGCATAGCTACAAGAAATTAGAGCATCCCTGGCCATAACACTTCTATGCAAAGGATTTTTAATCCTAGCAGCCATGCATATGAATGTGAGGTGCTGCAGGCCCTGGACAGGGTGCTGTGTTACCCTCCTGGAGGGTTAATGGCTATTGAGCAGGCAGGGGGGCAGAGGGATGCAGGGCCCTCTGAGTCCCTTCTTACCTGTGGTATTTGTGAGCTGGAAGGTGATGGATTTATCAGGGATACTGCAGACGTTGCGGACGGACACCTGGCACGTGTAGCTGGCATAATCCTGAGGCCGCAGGTTCTTCAGCTTCAGGACTTTGGTTTCACCCTGGGAGTTGGGGAAAAAAGTGGAGGGGAAAAGATACAGGTGTGCAAAGCACAGCTCATCACTGCAAGTTCATAACCTGTCCGAAAGTTTACAGATTGCCAGCAGCACCCATCAAAACTGCAGGGAATTGTGCAGACTTCAAGCTGCCCTAGCTATACAGAAAGGAGACACCAAATATTTGCAGAGGTAACTCCACCTCCAGGATTTCTCAAAACTGCCAGCAACTGACTGACGTTTAACCTGAAAGCACTGCTGAACAGGTCTAGGCATAACTTCTTGTCAAATGCAGTCGGAATCATCTTTCAGAATTTGAAAAACCTTAAAACATCCCTGAACAGACCTTGAGATCTCACACCAAGATACTGACAGGAACCCAAGGGATGTTACTGGGGTCTCAACGTTGCAAACCCAAAGTAAAACAGAGTGGATTCAGGCATTAATGCTAGCCTAAATATGACAAGCTTAACAGTTGCTCTGTGAAAAATTGCAGTACAAGGGGAAAAGATAAGTCACAGAACTACTCAAAGAACTCCCCAGAACTTTCTGATCTCTCTTCTCCTGATTCTCATTTATGCTGGTGTAAATTCAGAGTAACTACATGGATTATGGCAGCCGTTTCTCATACCAAGATAAAAACCAAACAAACAAGATCACTACCTGGAACTCCATTAGTTACTGGCTTGTTACAGAAACAGAATTAAGTTGTTAAATTAACAGTAGATGTGTTCTGTAGATTTTTATTTAGGAAATCTGGAAAGCTCTAAGATTCATCCTGTGGTTTGCACACCCTGCAACTCATACGTCTTCCCATGACAGCTTGTCACTGTTGTTCTCCTTGTGTTTGCCTGAATCTCTTCTGGAGAAATCATTCCATAATTGCCTGAAAATGTGTGAAGGTCTCAGCACGACAAATCCTCTTGAGGACAACCTCAAGAGACTGGACAATGAGCTCAGGCATGCTAATACGTAGAGAACAATGATGTGAACTGAGTAAATGAGAAAGATAAATACCTAGGAGACCAATAACCCTATGAAAGTCCTGTCCCCTGAGATTTGTTGCTATGCCACACAAATGATGGCATTTACAATGTGTATATCAACTACTCACTTACAGGGCCTCATTTATTGACTAGTAATTGTTGGGTAAAGGTGCATAAACCTTTAGTGTAGGTAAGTTTTAGAAAGATTAAACAGTAAAGTCTTCACCCCCTTTTTAATGTAAAAGCCTACCCAAACCCGACACTGATACCAGTTCATCCCTAACAGAATAGTACAACCCCCTGCAAAGTGTGATTTATTAAACACAGTGCCTTTGAGCTCCAGCAACATTTTCCCCTCCCAATAGTGTTGCAGAGGTGTGCTCCTGTAACTTCAACTCTTACCAACCCAAACTTACAGATTTATGATGGTGCTAAGGAGAGGACCATAGGGCATGCCTGTGTCAGCAAAGCAGTCCTAACACTCTCTCTCAGAGCTAGGAATGACCCATCACGTTAGGATGGGTCCTGACAGGAGCTGCGGGATGCTGGGTCATTTATACATTAATGTTGCAACATGGTAAATTCCTGCCAGATGCCTTATTTAGCTAAATAAAATACCTCAAGTCCTAAGACATCCTCTCAGTAAGCAATGTCTCCTGTTAATTACACTGAGTTAGTGAAAGCTGGAAGAGCGCACTGTGGCTTCCTCTAAGGCCAGGCATGTCCTAGTTGGATGCCGTGTAACCCTGGACTAGACAAAGCCCTCTTGGGGGCCAAACAGCGGCACTGACCTACAAGCATTTTAGTTGCAGATCTGCCACTAACCTTCAGCTTTCTCCTCTCTCCTCACCCCTCTGAGTGTTTCTATTTGGCTGCCCATTTACTCCCTGTTACTTGCGGGCATAAGGAAAAGCTCTTCATCATTTGTTTCATGGATCCCATGGCAATGCCTGCCATTTGCCGCACTGCTGAACAGGAAGCACTTCCCCTGATGTATGAAGCTCAAGCACTCAATGAATTAAAGAAAATTGTAATGGGAGACAGAGGAGACCTGATCTTGGGATTGTTTGCTTGGGTTTCAGTCTCTGCCATCCAACAGCTACGTCACCTCATTAGGGGAGCTGTGGCCTGCACTCAGGGACAGAGCCAGAAAGGGGAAAGTACTTCAAGGCTGTCACACGTCCTTCTGCTGCTCTACTCCTCCTCTTGTACCCTGAGCTCCCACAGACAGAAGCAGGCTGTACCAGCCCTTTTTTAGACAGTGCTCCTTGCAGCAGCTCCCACCCTCTGCCCAACACTGTAATCCACGCAGGGAAGGAAACACCCTCTACTGCAGTGCGCTGGGTTACCAAGACACTCAACACAAGCTGGTGGAAGTTTGCTTTTTTTCACCTGTGTGTAGAGGGGTTCATAGATGTCCACACCATTGTCCTGACTGTGGGAAAGCGTCTCAGCTCCCCGTTTCCAGATGAAACGAGCTGGTGGGTTGGAGTTGACAGTGCAGCGGAGGAAGACAGTCTTCTCCTGGTAGAAGCTGCCACGAACATCACTGATGGTCTGGTGAATGGTGAGAACAGGTTCATCTAGATCTGGAAGGAAGGTAAGGAGGGCCGCAGCAGTTGTTAGTGAAGCTTGGTCTGCACAAAGCCTGCAGAGCAGATGATGCTCTAGGCACCACAGAGGGGAGGGGAATCTCCCGCACATTTGGCTGATGACACCTGCTGAATTAAGAGTTTATCTGAGGGCAGGTAACACAGAAAACATCTAAAGGGAGCACACAGGAGAAGCCAGAATTCTCCCTCTCACCACACAACCTCCAGAGAATAGAAAGCACCCTCTGGTACGCAGATCCCCGTGTAGTCCTTAAGCAAATCGCCTCCCTGCCACATGCTTCTCAGAGCAGTGGGCTGCCTCACCTGCCCCAATGGCACCCCACACCCAAAATCACTGCTCTCTACTTCAGTGAGAGGTCAGAAGGTTCCCAGGAAACTGCTCCATCATAATTTCTTCTGCTCCCACTTTCCACTTCCCAAATTCCCGCTGAAATCATGAAGCTAAGCCCATGTCTGTGAGATGCCCACACAAATGACAGGACAAACCTCCAGTTCAAGGGGTGAAAATTAAAATCAGGACAAGACCAAGGAGCTGAGGTGGAGAGTTATCTCCTAGTCAGGAGCAAGTCTCGTGGGAGCCATGGGACCATGAGATGTAAAACACCGTGACAGGTATGCACAATTTCTCTCTCTTCCTATTAAAATATCCTCTGTGCATTTTCTTCTTTTCAGGATCTGTACTGACTCTCCCTCTTCAGTAACTTCTATTCACCTCATCCCTATCTATCACCCACCCCTAAATTGATCAGATTCTTTTGCTTTCTCCGTTTACAGAAAATGCTCCTTCCAATTCCCTCACCATATCTGCACTGGACATAAAGCCATCACAAATCAATGGCTATCAGTCACTTAACTTGCAAGGACACAAACAATAGCCCTGTAGGGAGCATACTTCCTCCATCCACTCAGAACACACTGCTCCCCAAGGTCGCCCTCCTGCTAAAAATGGATCATTTTCTTGGGTTTTGCACCAGACATCAGTGTTTGAACATCAAGGAAGCATAGGGAAAACCTCAGTCCTTTCTCCTCCCAGGGATTGGGGTTAGGTGTAAAGATCCCATTTAACAAGATGGGACAAACTGGCCCCCTAAACTAAAATCTGTCCCTGTGCCCTTAAACATGTCTTAAAAGCCGTCTGTCTAGCTCAGCTGAAACAATTCTACACTTTCAGGAGCCTTATGACCCCATCTTCAACTGCAAGGAAACTGAGGCACATGCACCCAGTATCCTCTACTGCTGCCAGTGCTGTCTTCTGCACATGTTAGCAGAGAGGAAGAGGACATCTGCTCATCACCTGCTGCTCTTCTATGCCACCTAATTTTCTCTATATTTTATTTCAGAGATCTGTAAGTTTGGAGATCTGACTCCCAGAAAGGAAGAGGGAAGCAGGGCTGAGTTTCTTCTAACTTGTTATCCAAATGGCATATGTTGTCTTCTGAATCACAGGCATCAACTTGTAGATTTGCATATTTTAATGAGCTCTGTGCTTGGTAGACAGCAATTGTAATTGGACCTGCTTGACCACATCATAGCTCAGAGATACGAGTAGAGCCATTAGCAAAACAAGGACAAGGCACCAAAAAAACCCCAAAGCCCCAGAACAAAACAGAACCCAAGTCTGAAGAAAAACATACACGGGTAGAAAAAAAAACCCCACAGCTCCTATACATGCAGTACTCTTTTTATGTGCCATGGGTGACTGAATTTTATACCTAATTCTTTTGGACCAGGACCATGAGCACAGCCTCTCCTCTTTCCTCCTTCTTTGTCCTTAACCCTCCTCTATTTGTTCACACTTCACAAGAGTAACTCAGTAGCTACCATCCTTCTGAGGCTCCATTTCTCATCAGGATGCATGGTAAAACACTTCCCTTACTGATCAAAGAAGATACTCACCATTCAGGTCTCCCAGCTCCCAGATACTCCTCACACAAAAACACCATCTTCCTTTTGGTTGCTAAACCTTTCTTCCCTTGAATCTTTCAGGCTTTTTCATAGCAGTCAGCTCCATGTCTAGCCCTCCTGAGAAAAGCTAAAATAAGACCTACAACTATGTGTATGTTCTTGATGTACAAGTAACGGCACTGATGTCAGTGAGCTGCACAAATAATAAATTTGGCCCGTGGCTGCTCATGGAGATGGTCATAGGGGATGTTTCATGTGCAATATAAGCTTGTGAACATCCGTTCTTTCTTTTTCTTTACTTTCTCTCTCTCCCACATGGAAATAATCCAAACAACAGCTGCCTCTCTGCCAGTATCAAACCAGTACTTTAAAGCCTCATTTGATGCCCACTTGGGGCAAAGGAATAACTTGTTACACAGGTTAGTATTTCCAGTTTAATACCCTCTTGGCACCAATGGTGCTCTCTGCACAACCTTGCTTGTCTAATACTAAAAGTATGAGTGAGGACTAGCACTAGCTGTCAAGGACACCAAGGTTCACATGAGGGTGATTACTTTCCTCTAACTACAAATTGGGATGTAGGGAAAGAAGGGTTTTGTTTTCAAATTCTGGTTCATTCAGCTGAAGGTTGCCTGGGTGAGCGTTCAACAAAAAGTGTGGCTTTTCCTATGTGTTCCCTTGTATATACTGCAAATGCTAGCAGAAAATAGTCCCTCCTCCACAAAACCCAGAGTAAGCAGAACAGAGGTGCGTTACCAAGTCCATCTGCAGAGTAGATGTTAGTATGAGAAAGCCCTTGGCTATCCCATTAGCCCCATAGTTCTACAGGTCAGAGCTGCATGAGGGACCATGGGACACTACATTACTCTAGCTCCAGCCTGCACCCCAGAAGTAAAGGGAGTGGCCTCAGGGCATAAAGAGATTCATGCCACAGTCCTCTTCCTAGAGATGCAGGCCCTGGCAAGGTGTCATAGTGAGGCTTGAGAAAGACAAGTCCCCCTTGCAATGGACAGTTACCATACACTTCCACCACACATAGGAGAAGAAATAGGCAGAGAGTCCAACCAAGTCTAGGTGGGTGTCAGAACTCCAAAGCTATGCTATGACAATGAAGAAATGCTCATCCCACCCAAAGAGGCTGCTGCTGAAGCAATTAATTTTCCCAGTGTGTAGGATGGTGCTTACACTATGCTATTTCAATACAGAGCAGGGCAAGGAAAGAACTGAGAGGGGAGCTGCTCCAAGCAACAGAATACAGCTGCAGATCATGAACCTGCCAAATGCCTAAGTATGTTCAAGTCTAGCTAAAAGGAGTGTGGGAATGGGAGGTGATGGGTTCAGGGAGAGTTCCAGCTGCTTTATCACACTTCACATCTTTTTAGCATCAACCTCTTGCTGGCTAGGCCTTCTCAGAAGATGAGTGAGGAGAGGGATTTGGTGCTACTTGGGTTGGAGAAAACTGGAATAGTTGATAGCCAAGGATGATAAACTCATCGGTAATTTTCCCCGAGGGAGTAAACCTCTTTTAAAGTTGCCTATACCTTAAATCTTGGATTCCTCGCATATTGGGATTATGGATAAGGTTAATTTCCCTTCCTTTTGGTCACAACAGCCCAGAAATAAGCCAGCATGAGAAACTTTCAAACATGGGTCCCAAGATGGAGAACTACTAACAGCATCTCCAGGACACAAGAATGGCCACTGCAACCAGCCCAAGATATCCTGAGTCACTGAAGCAAAGGGTTCCTCACAGATTCCTTCACGTTCATCCCTTCACAGCTCAGCCTCCTCAGGTGAGTCCAAGAGTCTTTTACTGTTTCCACCATGCTACAGAAGTAGCAATTCTGGGAGCAGGGCACTGATTTCAGGAATGTCCCAGGTATCTGAGGCATTACCCATTTGAAGAAGCATTGTTTTGCTTCAAGCATTGCCAGCTTAAAAACAAAGAAAAAGAAAGCAGAGAGCGCCTACAGTGCTACATCCCAGACAAGCTCCAGGGACCACTGGCTGTTACTGACATCATGGCTTCTGGGTAGGAATGACTCACATGGACAGGAAGAGCTATGTGTTTTGTGGATGGATATAATCTTCTAGGGAACGTGGTCCCTGGGGGCACCGCATCATTCCCTTTGCTCCTGAACCAGGTGCATGTAGTCCTAGGGCAATGCAGCTCCTTGCTGGCCCCGCAGCAAGGCAGAGACATGCAGTAGAACTGTGGGAAGGTCTGGGTTGCCACTAAACGACTTACACTGCACATCTACTCGAATGGACTTGATGGCAGGGACCCCAACCCCATTTTCTGCTTTACAGTAATAGCGGCCCCCCTGCAGCCTTTGGATCTTCTCAATCCGAAGGGTCTCGTTAAGCACTGACGTCTCTTGGAATTTGTCCGACGCGCTGCCGGCAGTTTTGGTCCATCTCACCTGCATGAGGAGAATGAGAGGAATGCAAACAATCAGTGACACAAACTAGAGACCCCAAGTGACAGCTGCACTCCCTTTACTCCTCTTCCCCTCCTCCCTAGCCATTCTCAAAAACTGGCCCTACAGCACCCCCAGACCTTACCAAAGTTCAACTACTGATCTCAGTATGTCTTGGTAGACCAGCTGCTGATTCTCATCCATCACTAATCCCCACATCTGAGAGTCCAGGATAACCCCTCGGTTCCCTCAAACACACACTGTATATTTACCACTTTTGCCCTGGTCCTGTAAACCCAGCAGCTTGTTTAATTTTACACCACTATCTGCACAACACAGGATTCTGAGCTTTAAGCCTTGGGACCCCATGCCGCTGGTAGGCCACAAAGCTAAAGCAAACATGAGCTCACAGCTACAGAGCTTTTATTGCAGTAAACACCTTTCTCTGGACAGCAAGGCTATTTCTGCTTTATGCTTTTCCAAGAAAGAGTGAGAAAATGCAGCTGCTATCTGGCTCTTGCCCCTTTCCCACAGGGAGCCCCTGTGCGTGTTATTTTTATAAGCCATCCTTTGGCAGTGCACAAGCTTTTATCTTGATTTTAAAGATACAGAAAAAGAAAAGAAAAAATCCCTTCAGATTCCAAGCTACCTTGCATTTTTTGTCCTTATGTTACATGTCTTAAGATCTTGGCTTGCAAGGGTAACTGATCTGCATGATAATTCATGGTGAATGTGGTAAGAGGACAGAACTCCTAAAGACTGAATGGTTATTCTTACATCTGCAATGAGGTACAGCCCTAACAGCGACAGTATAAGCTTCCCCCTTGTTTCCTGCAGCCCAGACAATGAAAGAGAGAGTGAAGACAATGAAAGAGAGAGACAGCTTTTCTCAGAACACTGGTTTTCTGTGTCTGCAACCTCCTTTCTAAAGGCTGGTGACTGGTGGTCTCCCACACTGGTGCCCATCCAGACTTTGGGACTGAGATCTGGCAAGATCAGCAGATAGAAAGGAGACTTTCATTCAACATTGACCACAGATAAATGGACCAGAAACCTTGACCCCTCTGCCAGATTTTACTTGAAACTCACTGCCACCACCTGACTGATGCTGATGCGCTAAAAAGAGCAGGGGTGTGCACATCCCATCCCCAGAGCACTAGGTTGAGCAGATTTCTGGAGCTAATGACTGTGGATTTATTTAGCATTTGTAGACTTATTATGAAATTGTCTAAGGGCCCCAAGACTCTCAGAGTCTCCTGTTTGCAAGGACACTTCAGCCAGCTCTTTAATCTTTTCAATTTTAATCTCATTTAAGTATTTTGGCCACATTTTCATGTTTTAATGACTGGCTGATAGAAGGGAAAATAAAAGATGAAACAAAGGTTAAGATACAAGCTTACCTGGGGGAGAAATCTATCGATGAGGAGGGAGGGCAGACATAGGACACATGCCATGTTTTATGTGTGTGGGTCATGCCTTGTGGGTCTGGTGTCCCCTGTGCATGTCCAGGCAAAGGCAAGCCACAGTGTTGCCCACTAGCATGCTGTCTGCATCAGGCTCTGCTCCAGCAACCTCTCTGGCTACTCAGGCCCCTGCAACCTGCTACCACCTTCACACACATTCAACATCCTTAGGCAGGGCTAGACCATCATCTTAGTTTCTGACATACGGAGCTGTCATCTGCCCATCACTGTCACGAGCCTAGGCTGGTTGTTTTTGCTGTCTTAGAGTATTTCCTTTTTCCTGTTTCCAGGATATGCTTTGATAGATAAACCGTTTCAAATTCTGCTGGCTGAAGCTCTCTCCCTCTCTTTTGTCATTGCCGCTTAGCCAAGTAGCTACTCAAAAGCAAGTCCACAGTGGCATTGACTGGTGTATGAAGATACATGCCTTCTCAGCACAGATATCTGTGGCAGGATTTGGGAAGGAGGACAAGAAGACATACATACTGTACCTGGCTCCCTTGAGCGTATTCTGTCACATCCAGCCTCGTAGTACACACTAGCTGCCATTCCTACCACACTCTGTCCCAGAGCAGGCAGATCCACGCTCTGGTTCAGTATCTCTATAGATACATCCACACTATTACTGAACCTGCCTGTTTGAGCATCTGAAGGGTGGAGAGGTGCCTGAATGGGGCTTGAGGCTATGCATCCCTCTAGGGACCCTGGGGAAGAACTGCAGCAGTTACTCAAGCTCAGCTCTGCACTGAACTGTGACTTTGACCACAGCATGGACATATCCAACACTGCAAGTCTGAATCTGCCTCCGGTCAGTGGACATTAAGCAATGACCAGCAGGGTCTGCATGGGGCTCAGGATGAACAACTTCCTGAACTCCCCAAGCAGGTTCCCCTTGGCTGTGCATCCAGAGAAGCTAAGAGACTGCAGGATCATAAAGGAACAGCTCCTGTGACCAACACATGCGGGAAGCCTCCTCTAACCTGTTCAAGCTGTTCCTACTTTGCAGTAAGAGGGTTAAAGATTTGAGGGTGGTTTGTATAACGGATTCAGTTTGAGCTTTCAGTTTTCTGGGGGTCTTCACATACTCATGACCACTAGAAACTCCGTGTATGCTTCTGCAAAGCTCTGTGGACTGTTTTCCACAAAAGCAGGACTAGATGCTTAATAGCTTAACGGGCTAGTGCTTGTACTACAAGGCATCCCTACTTGACTCCAATATGTAGGAGAAAGCTGGGCACCCTGCTGCCCACAAATCTCCTCTATGTGGAGACTACAGAGAGTTGCCATGGGCAGAGAGGTGCCAGGTAAAATGGACAGCTTACCTGTGGCCGGGGGTGTCCTGTGACCAGACACTGCAGGACCAGCGTGTCCCCCTCCCGAATTGTGTAAACACGTTCACTAATGTTGTCTTCCTTCACCACACACGCCTGCCCAGCATGGATGATTTGGGCCTGAGCAGGAGCTGCAGAGAGGAAAGAAGAGGTAAAGAGGGAAGCGAGCAGCACACCAGCCCCCTGTGCCCATGGTAGCTGCTCCAGCGGCAGGGTGGAAGAGCCACCTCTTGAGACACAGAGAGGAAGAGCCAGAGAGTGCTGGGTATGAGACACAAAGGTCTCAGGAGATAGAACACAGCGATTTTCCCCATCTCCTGGGCAGCTGGTATCAACTGCGATTTTAAAACCTTTGGTCCTGTTGCGATGAGCAGCTTTAGGCTCTGAAAAGCCCAACATGGAGTTTTTGGGGGAGACTCTCTTACGCAGGCTGAGAACCAAGAATTCCCTGCTCTCATGTCTTCCAGAGAGGAGCTTGTGTGAGCAGTTAAAGCAGGGAACTGGTCAAATCACAACTGCTCTACAACTGTCTAAAAGAGGCCAGATTACTATGATTTACTTTGCAGGGGGCTGGGATAACTACCAAGCAGAGTCAGAAAGGGTCGTGAAGCTCTGTAGAGCTTTTAGCAACATCCCAGGCACAGCACACTCTGTAGGAAAAGCAAATCTTTCCCAAATTACACTGAAATCTAAGTCCTGAGCCAGAGGAAACATTTTCTGTGGGATCACGGGACCCATAAACTCTAGGGATCTCTCCAGCTAGGGCTTCAAGTGGAGACCAGTTACTGCCAGTCTGGCCAGGAAAAGGAGTGAAGTGGAAAATACACAGAAAGAAAATTCTGCTCTGGAATCTGTGCAAACAGCCCTTGGCTCCGAAAGCGTTTGTGTGATCGCTGAAGCAGCTGACAGGTATTGAAGGTGACTGCACAGCCCAACAGGACACCCGTACTTGTTCCAGGGGAAAACTCCAGTCTCACTTCAAGGAACAGAGAAACTCACAAACATGTCTAGGAACTGGCTCCTCAGTGACAGTCCCCCTGGGACCCTTCCCTGGCTTACTACTATGCTTCCAGGTGACTCTGGAGTTGCAGCTTTAGCTCCCATCAGTGAAATACACCACAAAGGAACAAACCACTGAGGACATGATCAAAGGGTTTAAAGCAATCAGCCTTCTGAAACAAGTACAGATTTTGCACGTTAGAGCTGAACACCCACTTTTTCCTCAAGATTAGCTGAGCTTCAAAGACTACTTTTATTTGTTTGTTTTACTTCTTTCTTTTAGCATGACCAAAATGCTCTAAACACAATCACTTGGGCAAGGAAAGTGCTTAGATTTATCAGATTTATGATGGTTTAACTAGCATAAATCAACCAGCAGCACAGACCTAGGGCAGGCTGGGATTGGGCAGTGGAAAAGATCTGCCTTTGAGGTCAGCCTTTATGAACTGGTTTCACCACAATGCACTGACCAAGCAGCAGTGACTCAGGAGTGGACACAGGGCTAGTGAGTAGCAAGCTGCTCTTGCTGCTGGGGCTGCGCAGCCTGCCATGGCCACATAGCCCTCAGGGAGCAGCATGGCACATGCAGCAAGCTGCTCCCTCTTTTTGTAACTGTTCTGTCTTTCCAGAGTGGTGGCACTTTGCCTAGGTCGTTATTACTGTCCAAAGTGTTGACTAGAAGAAGCAACATGTGGATTTGGAGAATATGATGGCACAAACACAGACAAATCCCTCAGCTTCTCTCATCTTCCCCTTCTGCAGGGCTCCTGGGAATATGACTGCTATGGCTTGAGCATCATAGAATGCTGAAAGGGACTGTCAAAGCTTCACTGAATACAACTGAGTAGATGAGTGACCTTCCCTTGCCTAGATTGCAGAAGGAAAAAGTAGAAGCCTATATATGTGCTTGTACACATCTGTGTGTTCATGAACGCATGGATATACATACAGGTATGTAAACAGATTAAATAAAATAGTGACTTATCAAGAACAGACATCATGAATGCTTGCCAAGTGAACAGTGGCAGAGGAGTAAGTCAAAGGTGTATATAACCTTTGCCAACATACCTTAATCCAAATGACAGTCTCTTGAGATGATTCAGCCCTTGGCTTAGTCCTCTGTAGACCTGTCATCACACCTTTAACCCCATGTGCACTGCAGAGCATTGCTCACAGTGCCAAGACCCAGGCTGTGATGCTGAAGAATCCCTGCTCTATGACTAAAAGAGAAATCCTGTCCTTTCCCATCCTGTACAATTTTTCCACCCATCCTCAACCTGTGCTGCCTGCGTTTCAATGTGATCTTGGCACCCTGCAGCAGCAAAGCTCTCCTAACCTCTCCACGTAGTCTGAGCTGCATTTGCCGGATGGTGGCTCTATTCTCCCTTTTCAAACATGACCTTGCTGCAAAAACTAATTTCCAGCCACCCCACAGAGAATCAGAATATTTATGTGCAGCTGTAGCTCCCAGTTAAATGTTTCCTTCAGATGCTCTGCTGTATCCCACGCGGTAAGTCTTTCAACTTACATTCTTTTCCCTTTGGCCATCTCACTTCCACAGTTTCACCAGTCTTGTGCAACCCTTCCCTGTCACCTGGGTAATTTCCATAGCAGATTCATTAGGCACAATGGTACAGGATTAGAGGGGTTTTGTGCAACTATTCTGGTGCCCAAATACCTTGTGGTAATTTGCTGGTGTCTCTCTGAGTTTGATAGAAATATTATATAAACTACTTCTTATTTGGCAATACAAAGCACATACATGGCAAAACAATAACCCTAGGGATAAGCCCTGTGTCATAATTTTGTCCTCGTCTCCCAGATTCTCCTTGGATCCACTGAGCTGCAATGAAGCTCACAAGCAAGGGTGTGCACACCCAGCTTTGTTCATAGGTCTTAACTTGCCTGTATTACCACCACCGATACCTTTCAGATACATTCACTGGAAAAGGACATCATTTTAAGTGAATCTCCACTGCTTGAGCTGTAACATCTCTCTTGCAATGACAGCACAGGTCCTAGTAGAATAACAACCATTTTGCCATGTCTTAAACCCCATATGAACCCAGATCCCTCAAAAGGGAGCCTGGAGTTGTCTTGGAAAGAAAAGCACTCGTATAACTGGCATAGGAGTCTGAGAAACTCTGCCTCTGGTTACAATCTGACATTAATAAAATAGTGGGGCCTGAGCAATGAATGAACCAACCCAGCTCTTACGGAATTGCATTAAATCACAAGATGACACCTGGGAAGGTCTCTGGTCCAAGCTCAGCCTGCCACAGCACGCAACGGCTGGGAAAGTCACCTCATGCTGCATTACAGATGGGCAGAGAGATTGTGAGGATTAATTGCACTTTTAATGTGCTTGAACAGAAAGAATACATTATTGTTTGACATCATCCCAGGTCTCCTGGAGGATTTCAGCGTACAGACGGTTTGTGCATTGCCAGCACAACAGGATGGCAGGACCATGCCTGTCAGAGTAAACACTTTCACAGAAGATCCCTAGGAGGGCAAAGAAAGGCTGGAGCATGAGGCCAGGTGCTATAAACGAGGCAGTAATCTCAGCTAGTCTCTGCAGTGCTCCACAAGAACAACCTGCCCTGGTGAGTCCTGCTGGGGCAGAATCCCCCTCCTCAGGCTGTCAAGGAAGCTCTAATGACTAATATGGGGGAAGGAGAGATTGTTCCCCTCCCTTTTTTCCCCAGCATTTTGAGGGACAGGAGTATCATCACTTCCATTCCACTTCCAGGTAAGAGATGGATTTAGGGAGGGCTCCCAATACTAGGTCCTCCAGAGAAACTAGACCAGCCAAATATTGAGTGCCAGATGTTTTACAAGGGGGAGGGGAAAAAAACCATCAGGCAGCATTAGAAGAAAGGGCTGGCTTGCAGTGCATTTGGCCTCTGCACTGAGATTTCCTACAATGCTTTCACTTGACATATTAATACATTAAAACAAAAAGAAATTGGAGTGGATAAAATAACTTTATTCCCAGTGCAGTGTAGTGTACAATGTTATTATTACCATAATCTGGAAAGTTTATGAGACTCTTGGTGCTTAGAGGTTGCTAATATCATTAAAATTCAGGAAAGGAGAGAGAAATGGTCTTTTGGAGAGGACTGAGTAATCTGTATTTGATCCACAGGTCTAGTCATTCATCTTTCTGAGCCTGAGATCCCACTGCTACAATGGCAATGAGGAATGCTCCTTCACAGAGAGGGTGCTGAGTGACAGATACTGCATTGACACTCCCTCAGTCACACTCAGCAACCGCAAGGACATGCTGCTACCCCTTTGCAGCACAGCATCAACTGCACTTTACTACTGCCTTCTCAGCAGGCTAACACTAGCCATCACTGTTAGACTCAGCATCCCCTTTGTCACCTTCACATGTCCTGCAGAAGGCCTCAAGGATGGAGAACACCCACCTTCAAAGCTGCTGGCCCAATACCTGCAGCTACACACAACAGGGACAGTGAATCTACCCATCTCCATTACCACATTCCTGGAGAATGGGGAGAGAGGGAAGCTGCATCTGGAGTTTGCCCTCTTCCTCAGCCTTTATCTACCAGCCTTATTTACAAGGCAAGTGATGTCCTACCAAATACCTGGAGTAATTATAATTCAGCCTCTTCTGCACATAAGCTAGGCAAAGAAGCCAGGGTCCTTCCTTGTTCCTGTTCCTAGGCTCCCTGGACTCACACTGCTGGCATACATAGGAGCAAGAGCCAGGGGAGCACTTGCTGCTAATCTGCTGCTTATGTTCTTGTTCCCTCAAGAACCTAGCTGTCTCCTTCTCTTCACTCTTCCCATCCTGAGCAAGTGAAATGAAAGGGATGCATCTTGAAGGGAGTTCAAGGGGAAAAATAGACAGTGTTTATGGAGTAAGTGGGGTTGAATGAGCATTTCATTAAGGAAATCCACATGTGGCATTCCTTGCTGAACAGCCACTCTCAGCAACTTCCTGTCCATGGGTAGAATTGCCCTGCAGCACTGTTTGTTACAGACCCTGCATGGCAAAGCACCCAGGGAGCTTCTCAAGCATTGAAGTCACTGCTTTAGCATTTTATCCTGCCTTTATTCATACAATGTACAACTCTGCTTGAAGAGCAGGGGCACACAAACACAA